ATTCCAGTGTAAAGACATTCTAGTTATATTGTACTCAGGTTTTCTCAGCATATGTCCTATCCAACGCCAGCATCCTTAATGATTCACTGGAAATTGTTTAGTTCTTTCTCAAAGCTCCCTATTAGGTATTCACAGTTATTTACACATTGTTATTCAAAATAATTGATACACATTCATTCTTCTTCTTCTTCGCGTTCACCAGCTCTAAACTCTGGTGAAAAGTTCTGGTTGTTCTTCCACTTCTGGACTGCAGTCGTGTTCCAGAACTTGAGTGTTGTGTGTGCATCTATTTTACTAATCTGACTCCTTTGTATGCAGACTGATGGTTCCTTGCCTCTCAGGCAGATGCACTCCGAAATTCATGTGTATTTCCCTGAATATACTTTACATTTTAATATACATACATAAATATTTATATGCTTTTCATCATCACCAGCATATTATTATGCATTTAAACTAGGCTTTTCAATGTGAGTACCTCCGGCCTTAGAGAATGTTTTCTTGCCATTGGCACATATAAATAAGAACATTTACTGCACTCTGGCGGTAGTATTCAAAACTTTAAACCTTTCCCTCTCTCTTGTTTGTATATTATTTATATATCATGTATATTCAAGGAATTATACATAAAGGAAAGTGTCTCCATCATTATGAATAACCCTAATTGATTCCCTCCTTAGGCACCAGTTAACGTTTGAAATTTATTAGTAACTGTTTTAGTTGTTGGCCATTAAAGGTAAGTTAATTTAATGTTTCACCAAATACAGAAGACATTATTTATTTAATACTTTTAAGCGGCTTGCAAATGTTTTGAACACCTGCTTGGCCCTTGACAGAAAAAAAAAGGATTCTTCACACAGGTTCAAGGCTACAGCATTTAAACCAGCATTAAGGTAAGGTGTATTGTATAAATAGACCTATATTTTATAGACCAATATGTACCCATATTTTAAACACCAATCTGTACCCATATTTTATAGACCAATCTGTACCCATATTTTATAGACCAATTGGCACTCAGTGGGTGATGTGGTTATCATCATGACAGCTGCTTTACTTCCCATGACTTCACCTGGTAACCATTTTAGGCTGGGTCAACCTGGAAGCCATTAAAAAAAAAAACATCTGACCAGATGTTAATTTGAAGGACACAACAAGGGAGGTGGGGAATTGTTTATCTACTTCACTTCAATTATACTACCAAACATTTGTGTTGCAAATCACACAAAAAGGATATACACATATAAATATGCATAGTATGGCAAATATGGCATCCATGCAAAATAGTCACTGTAGCAAACTGGTTTTAAGAACAACAAATAATTCATAAGAAATCACACAATAAAAACCCACTGTAACTGAACATTCAGGCAGTGATGAAATCACACAAGACACAAAGCATATAGTCATGACAGAGGGTAATCCCACACACCCGAAAATGCATCTTTACATACATCAACTGTATATATTTATGTATTAGAAACGGAATGGAAAAAAACAGACTATGATTCCTATGTGACATGCAATGACACAACAGGAGAATCACAATAATATTTAAATATGTGCTGTCTGCGGTAGTGCATTAGCTAAATGCCTTCTGCCAGTCTCAAGATTTTGGGTTTGAATCTGCATCGATGGTGGATTTTAAAAAAATAAAATGGGTACTAGGAAATGTACTGGAAGGTAAATATGTCAACATGATGTTAACACATCATCTACCCAGTACTGATAAGTTCAGAAAAATAAAGGTTTAGCACCATATGCAAATGGTGTCAAGAGTCCTCTATTTACTAATGCTGACAAGCACAACATGGCAAATGCCAAACAGATACACGTCGTACACGACAGCAGTATTTACAGGCAAGGTAACAGACATCAAATAGTCAATTTTGTTGCAGGGCTTTGAAAGACTTTGGTTGTCACATAATGATTACTGATTTAAGAATTGACATCATAGCACAAGTCAAATCCACAAATGCTTCATCACTTGCAGTAAATGTCTTAGGATGTTGATTGAAACTGTTCCATCAGGACTCTCAATATACACGTCATTCTCTTCCTAATTATTCCATCTAGCCTTGTTCTGTGCCTTCTATTAGCATTCATTCATACAGTCTTCAGAATGTGGTCACATAAAGAAGGCTAGTTATGATAGGGTGGGTGACTGCTTTTTTCCCTCACATCTGTTCCGTCCCCAGCTTGTTCAAATTCAAGGCTATATGCCACAAAAGGATTGCACATCTTAGCCTTTGAGTTTTCAAAGAAGCCTTGGGCATGTTTAAAAGTGGGATGATCAGCTTCACTGTTCCAGATTTGATCAGATTTGAACAGTTGTATGTAGGAGACATATCCTGGCTATGCTGGCCATTACTGAGAGATACCATACACTAAAGGCAGGAAGTGCAGACGCAGTGGACTGACAGCTGAGAGCGGACAACTTGAGGCCAGAAGATGTGATTAAATAAACTGATGGATCAGGGGCCAGGGACAGAAAGAGTTGATTGGGCTTCAATGCAAAAGCACTGGGTAGAATGATTCTAGGGCCCCATTCTGGTAGGCGAAAAAGAGTAGATCCCCCTCCCCCGCCACCACAAAAAAGCGTGCTATAAAAGGTGACTAATGAGTTCACTAAGATCAGATGCAATGGGTCAAAAGGTAAGATATCACAGCCTAGCTATAAGCCACAACACAATATGTCAACTGCCTTTTTAAGGACAAAAACAGAAGAAGAACTGATGACAGCAGTAGTGCTAGGTTGATTTAACTCTGTGGACAATAAGCATTTACAGCAGAGAAATGCACAATAAAGTTAATTCTAATAAAGAGAGTACCATCAGAAACTGAAATTTTATCCTTTAACGGCTAAGTATTATCTATTTTAAATTACCTTATTTCACAACAAGCAAATGCTTGAACACATAAATAACTGGCCACAACTGATACACAATCCACATACACAACATCAGAGGAAGAAAACTTCACTGTATTTCCAAGACAGAAACAGGTTAACATGTCTAATTTGAGTTATGAATTTGTCTATGTGATTACCAATCAAACTACCTAAATTACAAAACAACCAAATGTCAGACCCCCTCCCCACAACCTGTGTGAAGTAAATTGTAAAACCAACTTTTTAAGATAATTATACCAAATATATATTGCATAAATTTGTGTCTGGTATATTTTGCTGTGTGTAATCAGGTGAATTACTACACAATACTTTGAGGCTGCATGGACATGTTAGTCAGAAACTAAATTACTTTTCAGTCCCAGGGGGTTTAGTATCACAGGCCCAAGGAAGAGTAAAAACAGACACACAATTGGTGCATCCTGGCCTTCACTGTGCTTCTAGGTAGGAACCTATGAACATATGATGTGTTCCTTGGGACTGAAAGAGCTAAATGTATAGATATATAAGTAAAATTCAGTACAGCATCATATATATATATATATTTATGTGTTGCAAGTTATAAAGTATTCCTTTACATTTATGCTGAAGGAATGGTAAACTGTGATCATTTAAAGTGATTTACAAGTCTCAAGCAATATTTTTGGGGCAGCAAACAACACAAACAGTAGAATTTGCCTGCGCTGCACTTCACTTACCAGCTCAGATCGCTTACTCTTTTAGCAAGGCGAGAAATTTAAAAAAAAAAATATATATATAAATAAACAGTATCAATGTCAACCACATTACTGGCTGTAGTAAAATAGGAGACTATGAGGATTTGACGAGTGACGACTGTAGATTTGTTCTGACTAGAAAATGCGTAGAATAATTCAATACAAATATGAATTAACTATGCATTGCAATACCTTTTCAGAACCACATCCTATTAAATTAAACAAAAGATTATCACTTTAAACACACATGTGTGTGTGTGTGTGTGTGTGTGTGTGTGTGTTTGTGGAGGAGAGGGGGGGGGGGTCTTTTAAACTGGTCCCCTTTTAATACCAATGTGGCTTACGGGACATACAGTGGGAGGCCGAAATATTCATGATTAAATGACTTAATGGATGATGTAGTTAGTGTCATGCCTACCACCTTACATAGGGACCAATTTTATGAAGCTTGTTCAACTGAGAACCATTGGAGACTGCTATGCTCTTAACTTCAAGAAGGATGTGAGCTTAGGATCACCAGGCTAGCATGTCTACTTCTCCTTGTTCACCTGCTGAAACTTCAGCGGAATGTTCTGGTTGTTGGTCCACCCCTGGACTTTGGCCTTCCTCCAGAACTTGAGTTCTACATGCACATCGATTTTACAAAGCTAGTTTTTTTTTTTAATGCAGACTGTTAGTTCCTGGCCTCGGCAGATGCATTCTGACTGAAGGAAACACTCATAATGGTGGACTTTTAAAACATGCTTATTGGGGAAAAAATGGGAGAGGAGGGGGGGGGGGGGGGGTGTGTGTGTGTGTGTGAGGCAGTGCGTCTAATCATTGTTTATCCTCACCATGGGTCCTGGAACCCACACAGAGAAGGCTAGCATGTTATAACTACTCTATTAACTGCAGCTTGTATGCTGTGTGCGGACACGTGCATCCACATGCTGACACACACACTCTCTCTCTCTCATTCAATCACTCACTCACTCTCTCTCACTGATTTAGCAAGGACAGTGCCGAAAGGTATGAAGAAGAAGAAGCAAGAGACCAGTGTGAAGGTTCTGCACAAGACTTGCTACAAGATGAGGATCAAACAAGAAATACATGTCTGTAAACTGTCAGTCTACCTTGTTACTTCCAGGAAAAAACATATCACTTTTTATTTATCAGTTCCCTATAAGAGGTCAGCACTAACAACAACAGTAATTTCAAGTTGAAAGTCTCATTTCTTTCCAACAAATAGCATTACAACAAGAAAACAAAATACCTTATACCCTATTAAAAAGTCGTAAGAATGTTGACCAACAAATTAGATTGAATACACAAGTGATTTTAAAACAGAAGACTTTTTGGCTGTATACAAAAACCATGTTCATTAATTTCTCACTTACCAAGTCAGCAATATCATTTTTCAGGGTTGCATGAACTCCAGCAATGAATGGGGTTGGTGAGTTCAGCACTTCTAGAAGAGCAGTTGGTAGTACTGGGATAAATACATAGCTGGTGACAGATAAATACACACATACATAAGTCATAACTGCAAAAGATAGAATGGAATGGAAAAATAGAAAATCGTTCTCAACGATAAATACCTGGATGGCCCAGCCATGTGGATGAGGGCGAGATAAGAACACTGACCTGATCCATGTTTCTGGCAACTGTATAGGATGGCGAAAAATTAGCGTCTATTCTTATCAGCAAGGATAGTGATGATCTTTTAGTTTCTGACTACATATCTGACCAAGAAGCATTGAAAAATAAACATTTCACTAGATCGCTATCGAATTACAAAATGCCAGTCCTCCTGCAAAATTATTACACTGGTGGCTTTCAATGTTTTTCAGGTGACATTCTCCCTTGAACACCCCCCCCCCCCCAAATTTAAACAAAAAATATGATTAAAAAGATGAGGATGAAAAGAACAATCCTAAGCACTATTAACAAGAACTTGGAGAAAAATATCCATTTCAATCAAAGTGTCAAATAACATAAAAGAAACAATCACTGACAACTGGTAGTGTCCAAATGTGATGGTTGACACTGTTCTGTCCCGACGATATCTGCAGTTTTTGGTCTGATGACACAATGGAGATCACTCACCAAATGAGAGTGACAGCGATGCTTTGTTTACAAGCACAAATGCACTCAGTTTCAAAACTGCTTGATGCCTCTGTTGAAACGTCCTTGCACCCCTCTATGGCAGTGCAAACCCAGGTTGAAAACCACTGGACCTGATGCTATCACCTTTAAACAAACCAGCTGATGGGAAACACACCTGTGGCATCTCAACTTGTCACTCAATTGCATATGGAAGACAGTATTGAGCTGATCTTTGCAACAATAAACATTGTAGTAGATAGCTATTGAGTGACCAGATGCTATGCTTATTTGAGATTCTGCATGAGGGCACTGCTCTATCAATTATCTCAACCTGTAACTTTATCACTGCCTCTCTTTGCAAGTCAAGACTGAGCTTATATTTCTAATTTGAGCCTCTACCAACATGTTCAAAACCAGTTTTGATCACAGAGAACTTGAAAAAAAAAATTGAAAGCAAAGAATCAATTTCCTCACCCTGAGGCATGCTGGGTATATGGTGTTCAAACAGTGGACCAATCAGCACTGAACAAGTGACAAGCTTTTACTTCTCAAACAGTTCTGGTACACATTTAATGCTGGTTCACCTTGGATTATTTCAAACTAAATCCCTTGCCTGTAGGGGGTTTAAATATATGACCATCAGGCAGGAGTACTAGCTACTGTACTATCAAAGCTGTCAGGCCACATGGAACCAGGCTAGAAAATCTAGGGTACAAAGCTGGATCTTGTACAGAAATTATGCAACACAGAAGAAGCCACAAGGTCTAAGACCTGCTGTGTTTGGGTGTGTACGCTGAAACTAGAAACCATCCCAATGACAGTAAACACCAAAAACATGAAACAGGCAAGTCATTTTCCATATTCAGGGACAATTTTAATTTTCATCATATCAAAAGCAACGCTGTGGTATAGCGGCTAGCCCACTCACCTGCGGATCCAAAAGTGTGGGTTCAGATCCTAAAAAAAGAATTTTTTTCAAACATGACCTTGGCTCTCGGGTTGACCCAGCCTTAAATGGGTACCAGTTAAAGTCGTGGGAAGTAAAGGTGGCTGGCTTGATATTGACCACATCACCCACCACGTGCCAATTGGGCTTTATAAAACGTAAGTCTAGCCCTATATACCCAATACACCTAAAGGTGTGGAAAAGAATCCTTTAATTTACTTACACCATGAAGAAAGAATGGATAGAGAAATCAACATTACATGCAAAAACAAATCAAACACCACAGTTGAAACATAGAATGTCAACTTTGTCTACCAAGGCAAATCTAATAACAACTATGTTTGGCCAACTTTATGCTACCAGTGTCAAACATGTACCCTGACTAAAACTAATGAGTGCAAAATTCTTACTACAGAGATGAGATATTTAGAAGAGCTGCCAGAGTAACAGGAAGAGACTACAAATTAAGAAATTAAACAAAGACAATGTCTGAAACAAGTAATACAGTTCATAGAACAGCAACAGATGAGAAGGTCTGGCCATCTGGCCATCGTCAATGCCTTGGGCCTAACTGCCACAGGGAGCCATGCAAGAAATACAATGATTACACAGCAAGGGGAAGACCATGCAAACGATGGAGCAAGGACATCAAGAACAGTCTTAAAGGAATGAAGATCAACTTATGCAATTTGTTAGAAGGAACACACACAAGATCCTCAAATTAGCCCAACTCTTGATGAAGTAAATGGAGGAGAAGAAACAGAAGAGGACTCTTGTGAACTGGTCTCTCCATTTTGTTTTTTATCATCAGTTAGTGCTGACTGTATCCTTATTGCCTCTGCTGCTAAGCCATTTGCTGTGCACTCTGAAAGTCTTGGGTTCATGTCACTGACTGTGCCATTCAGCTTATAATTGCACTGTTTACTGAGATCTGTTAAGAAAGTCATTGGACTAACTGAGTTCATGATTCTTTATCATTCATAAGGTGGCAAGCCATTATGCAGTGTCAGAAAGATAGAACCATGAAGGATACAACCTAGTGCAGTGAAAACGATAATGCTGACTCGGAAATGTTTTTAACCCTTTCGCTGCTACGTTCCCAGAAATAGCTGTCTGCCCTGTGCTAAGCAATGTGAAAAAAAAAGTCTCTGCTGTGCGCAATACTTTTCTATCCTCCAAATGCAAGAGATGCGTCGGCGGTGAGGGCTATATTTTGTACACCCAAAAATTTTTACCCTGGGGAGTTGTGTGGTTGGTCCGAGTGGTGACAAGTCAGAGGCACGATGGTGGCCCACAAACTTGACTAACGGAGCTATCACCCTGGGGGGGGGGGGGGGGGGGGGGAGAACTGTTCCCTGTCCGTATCCCAAAATTTGATTGACGAACCTACCACGGCTGCCACTTTAATCATAGTTATTTGTAGTCACCATGTTATTAAATACCAAAATAATAAAAAAAAATTTAATAATAATACTTGAGTCGTCCGTTGATGAAAAGTAGCAGGAACTGAAAGGAAAATTTACAATAATTTAAAAAAAAAATAAAAACACGACTTCGGGGGTTGAACACACGACCCTCTGATTCTAAGGCGAACGTGATACCAACTACACTATACTATCGCTTGACGCATTTTGCTGTGTGAATGATAATAATGACTGATGTACGCAGACTATCAATAACGTGCCTAAACTTGTAATCTATCGCCGCCTGCATGAGCACTGTTGTCTGAGAAATGTTTGAGATTCTCAACAATAGTAAAAATATGACCGTCGACATTATTTCACGGGAGTTTTAGCAAACAGTCTTTGCTCAAGTACTCTATTTTGAGTTTCTTTGTTCTAAGCATTAGCAGACAGCAAAAAAAAAAAAAAAGTTCGTCCGAATCTGTGTCTGTCTATCGGGAAAGACGAGAATTTTTAGTGACTGAACTGTTTGAATTTACAGTAGCAGAAATACAGTTAGAGCTGGAGTCATCAAAATTATGCACTACTGGTTTCAAATCATCGGTTCATAAAGACAACTGATCAATTTATTGCCGTTTTGATGGCGCTTCATTGTCGCTGCTCTCTGATTCCGACAATGAGGACGTCGGACAGGCAAACAGTTTTTTTTTTAACACGACGGTTTCAGCAGTCGATATTGATGGCCCAGTCAAATCTTTTTGTTCACTATCAGAAGTAAACATTTCAAAGTCATCTTCGCTATCACTTCTTGACAGAAACTCCATAAATTCTTCATCAACTTTAACAAGTTTTCATGCCATTTTGTACTAAGTGTAGAATAATACAAAAGTACAAATATATATCAGGGCACAAAATACACAGATCACCGACCACGCTGTCACGGTAAACAAAGCAACGGGATAACGCAGAATGCAAAAAAACACACCTTAAACACACCTAAAAGCACGTGCCAGTGCTTTTAATCATATGTAAATGGGTCAGTTTAATCTAAATATAGTTAATGTATATTGCCCTTCAGCCAATAAAATACGAGGTAACAGAAATCTGTAAGAAAAGTCCAAAAACGGCTTAGGACGTCCATAGCACTGGGGGTCAAGAAAAAAAATAACGTCCAAAGACGGGCGTAGCAGCGTACGGGAAATCGGGAAAAGACGTCCATAGCAGCGAAAGGGTTAAAGCACTCACACACATATACTACACACACACATAAGAACTGCTTCCATCAACACGTTTTAATAACTTACGTGTATTTTAGAGGGTAATGTAATACAGAAAGGGCGCGGCTGGCTTCACAAAGTCGAGAACAACTTTCTGAATAGAAGAGAATTTTGTGATCTGTGAGTGCAGCAGAGAAGACTGTCAGGGTGTTGTTGATACCTGCAGGAGAGAGACAAACATTTTTTATAACTGCAACAAAACTGGACATCTGAATGAAAACATTAATTAAAAGGTTTTCACTGCATCTATCTTCCATCAGTTGAGATGTGAAATATTCATAAGAGCTACACTGAGTCAATTCTGATAAATCTGTGTGCATCAAAGATAATCAGACAATGTGAAAAACAATGTGGAAGCTGTACAGATGGGGTTTTAAAGAAGAACGGTGAGAACACCACAAACAAATAACAGGTGTAATAAAGAAAGAAGGGAGTCGCCGTGGCTGAGCGGCTAGATGCTCGTCGCGGATCGGAAGGTCGTGGGTTCGCTCCCTGGCGGAGCCGGACTTTTTTTCGAAAAAATGACCTTGGCTCCCAGGTCGACCCAGCCCTGAGTGGGTACCGGGTGCAGTCCCGGGAAAGTAAAGTCGGCCGGCGTGATGCTGACCACATCACCCATCCTGTGCCGATTGGTCTAATAAAAATATAGGTCTAGCCCTATATGCCCTATAAGCCTGATGGCGTGGAAAAAGGGTCCTTTACTTTTTACTTACTAATAAAGAAAGATACCTTTTTACTTACTAATAAAGAAAGATACTTTTTACTTACTAATAAAGAAAGATACTTTTTACTCTCTAATAAAGAAAGATACTTTTTACTCACTAATAAAGAAAGATACTTTTTACTCACTAATAAAGAAAGATACTTTTTACTTACTAATAAAGAAAGATACTTTTTACTTACTAATAAAGAAAGATACTTTTTACTTACTAATAAAGAAAGATACTTTTTACTTACTGATAAAGAAAGATACTTTTTACTTACTGATAAAGAAAGATACTTTTTACTTACGAATAAAGAAAGATACTTTTTACTTACTAATAAAGAAAGATACTTTTTACTTACTAATAAAGAAAGATACTTTTTACTTACTGATAAAGAAAGATACTTTTTACTTACTGATAAAGAAAGATACTTTTTACTTACTAATAAAGAAAGATACTTTTTACTTACTAATAAAGAAAGATACTTTTTACTTACTAATAAAGAAAGATACTTTTTACTTACTAAAAAGAAAGATACTTTTTACTTACTAATAAAGAAAGATACTTTTTACTTACTAATAAAGAAAGATACTTTTTACTTACTAATAAAGAAAGATACTTTTTACTTACTGATAAAGAAAGATACTTTTTACTTACTAATAAAGAAAGATACTTTTTACTTTCTAATAAAGAAAGATACTTTTTACTTACTAATAAAGAAAGATACCTTTTACTTACTAATAAAGAAAGATACTTTTTACTTACTAATAAAGAAAGATACTTTTTACTTACTAATAAAGAAAGATACCTTTTACTTACTAATAAAGAAAGATACTTTTTACTTACTAATAAAGAAAGATACTTTTTACTTACTAATAAAGAAAGATACTTTTAACTTACTAATAAAGAAAGATACTTTTTACTTACTAATAAAGAAAGATACTTTTTACTTACTAATAAAGAAAGATACCTTTTACTTACTAATAAAGAAAGATACTTTTTACCTACTAATAAAGAAAGATACCTTTTACTTACTAATAAAGAAAGATACCTTTTACTTACTAATAAAGAAAGATACCTTTTACTTACTAATAAAGAAAGATACCTTTTACTTACGAATAAAGAAAGATACTTTTTACTTACTAATAAAGAAAGATACCTTTTACTTACTAATAAAGAAAGATACTTTTTACTTACTAATAAAGAAAGATACTTTTTACTCACTAATAAAGAAAGATACTTTTTACTTACTAATAAAGAAAGATACTTTTTACTTACTAAAAAAAAGATACTTTTTACTTACTAATAAAGAAAGATACTTTTTACTTACTAATAAAGAAAGATACTTTTTACTTACTAATAAAGAAAGATACTTTTTACTTACTAATAAAGAAAGATACTTTTTACTTACTAATAAAGAAAGATACTTTTTACTTACTAATAAAGAAAGATACCTTTTACTTACTAATAAAGAAAGATACCTTTTACTTACTAATAAAGAAAGATACTTTTTACTTACTGATAAAGAAAGATACTTTTTACTTTCTAATAAAGAAAGATACTTTTTACTTACTAATAAAGAAAGATACCTTTTACTTACTAATAAAGAAAGAAATTATCTTAACCAAGAGTACTGACTACTTGCAACAGCTGGAGAAAAGCCACATTCTTTGAACACGTTATGAGAAGGGAAAACTGGAGTACATTATGACAACCAAAAAGCTGAAGGGGAAGAGAGGCAGAGAGAGAGATCATGAGCAAAGTTATTAGACAGTCTGATATCATGTTATGGAAGAACTTCTGTATCCTAAATAATGAGTAGTACCCAAGAGGGAGGGATGTGGACAGATATAATCACAAGTGTCACACAGCATGGACCACAAGTAACCCCTACTGCATAGAAAAACTGAGAATTTTCTTGAAAAACAGTCAAGAGAGTTTTAACTCATTCACCCCAAAAACCCTTGGATTAAAAGGTCACAAACCTCGGAATTCAAGAAAAAAATTATTAAAAAGAGGAACAGTTTAAAAATTCCCAAAAATATGTGAAGGGAAGTAATCAACAAACATGAATGAAGCAGTGAATTAAATAACGTACATTCCCTCAACCCTCAAATTTTTTTTTTTAAATAATGACTCATACAGGGACCTGGCCACTATGTGACTGCTAAAGGCTAAAAGTGAATTATAATATTATTATTTTAAAAAACCTTTTTTTTTTTCAAAATAAATCTCCCCAAATGCTATTTTTTAGTACATAACCATAACAGGCCCTTTCAAACACTGTACAAATGCACACACACATACACACAAAAAATAATTAAATGTTAACAATTAACAGTTAGGGGAGTGGCCAAGGCACCTAAGTCTATAAAAAGGCTCTGAAGCGATATATAATCGACAATAAAGCCTAACATAAGATTCTCAGAGTGAAAGCTTTAGAAACTGCTGTGGAAATAGTTTTTTTTGCATATTTCATCACATTCTTCTACCTCCCTTTATCCCCCATTGGACCAACTCGTCCAAACCATCCTATAATTTGCCAGTTCATGTAACTCACTTTATGAGCTCCCATATTCTTCTTCTCAGTCTCTAATTCTTTTCTTTATGAGTTTTTTTTTTTGTTCCTTTATCTTTACTGTCATGTGGGTTCCAGCACTGGACATTCTAGCCATACTTTTACCCTGTTTTCTCAATGTGTCCTACCCATCTTGAGATTATTGGGTAACCCTTTGCTGTGAATCATTAACTTTGATAACCTTTTATTTATTTTCCCGAACTTGTTTAGTTATTTCCTTAAGCTTTGCAATGATAAATATTTGTAACTTTTTAGCAATAGTTTCAGTCATTCTCCAATTTATGCTCCAATAAAAATTACTCTGTTAGAGCTAAATATTTAAAGTTTGGTACTAGCTTTAATTGCTGTTGACCTCCAGGACTCTTGGAAAGATAGGTGGTGTGTAGAGAACTGGTCATGTAATCTTACATATTATGTCAACTGTATATGTTATTTACACACACGATTCTATGTGTGAAATACTGTGACTCCACATCGTGAGGTCTGCAATGAGACTCCCTCCCAGGTTGTGACAATAAGGTTCTGATGCTTACCAAGCTGCTCAAATAATATGGCCACCGATGTATTGCTGATGGGCAGGGATGGACACAGAGGAGGCTGCAAAGCCTGTCTATCACCAGCACCTATAGAAAATCTCACTTGTGGGCCACCTGTAAAGACAATTAGAACTATTATTTAGGAGATTTTTATAACTGTAAAAAATTAGTTGCAAAAGTTCTCTGACTATACTGTCATCAAATGAAAGAGGTTGCCTAGTACTTCCGACACTGTCATCAAATGACAATTTCTGCCTGGTTCTGACACTGTCATAAAAAAAAATGCTGCTTAGTTTTGAGCCTGTCATCAAATGCAAAAAGTTGCCTAGCACTTCTGACAGTGTCATCAAAAGAAAACTGTTGCCTAGTTTTGAGCCTGTCATCAAATGCAAAAAGTTGCCTAGTACTTCCGACACCATCATCAAATGAAAAATGTTGCCTAGTTCTTCTGACACAGTCATCAAATAAAAAATGTTGCATGTACTTATGACACAGTCATCAAACTGAAAAATGATGCATGGTACTTATGACACAGTCATCATATGAAAAATGTTGCACAGCACTAATGACACAGTCATCAAATGAAAAATGTTGCACCGTACTTATGACACTGTCATCAAATGAAAAATGTTGCACAGCACTTTTGACACAAGTCAGCAAATGAAAAATTTGTTACATGGTACTTATGACACAGTCATCAAATGAAAAATGTTGCACGGTACTTATGACACAGTCATCAAATGAAAAATGTTGCACGGTACTTATGACACTGTCATCAAATGAAAAATGTTGCCTAGTTATTATGACACTGACATCAAATGAGAAATGATGCCTAGTTCTTCTGTGCGATGTATTTCTGTTATACATGAATGTTTACTTCTCCTTCTGCTGCATTGATCTGAGGACATAACTGCACTGTGCCTGCTTACAGCATGGCTGTGATATTTGCGTCTTTCTGTTGACTTTTTGCGTCTTTCTGTTGACTTCTAGCGGCTTTCGTTGCCTAGATTATCTTTGCCAGAAATGTGTATTAAAATGATTAAATATTTACGTTATCATTTTATGTGTTATTTTGAAAAAAAAAAAAAAAAAGCTGTTGGGAAAAAAAAAAATCAATGTTTACATTTGTTTGTAATATTTTTTTAAAGTCTCGCTTCTTAACTGTTTTAACTCTTCCAGTCCCAAACAACTTATCATGTGCTTCTGGATCAGTTCAAAGATAATATAATTTACAGACTGTCTTCTGTCACAGAAGAATGTCATATCAGTCTCTACTGTTTTACATTACTAGCCTAACATCTAATGTTCCATAGTATACACGTTGAAGGCCTTAACACCAAATTATTTACTGCTTTTAAGCTAAACACTTTGGGGTAGAAGGAGTTGAAATAATAACTGCTTGGGATTAACAGAGTTAACTATATTCCAAAATAATTTTAACAGCTTAAAAAGAAAAAACTGTGTCATCACGACAATGAAGGCTGGCTGCACACTCACTGTGGTCTTTGGGAATATTTCATGCTGATGCCTAAATCTCTTTCATGGTACCACAGTTCAGAAACCGTGAAAACAGTCCTAAATGGAACCCTGTTAAATCTAGGATTGTGAAACTGTGAAATGCATTTACTCAGCTCTAAGATACAGAGTGGGATATATAAACAATACTTTAAAATGGTGGTTTCTCATCTCCAAAGGGTTGATATATATTTTAAGTGATGAGGGAAGGGGTGCACATGTATGTGGATGTGTTTATGCATGCAAATTTTGTGTTAGCTGCTATTATTTTTATTTTTTGTTTAATAGGAAACAGAACATGAAAGAATGTTTTAACACTACATTTTCCATATGACTACTTCTGTCCCTCGCAGGTAATTACATGCAAGCAAAATTAAATACATCTAATAGAAGGCCAAAATAAACAGGTCTTAAAATTGATAACAGGACACAATTATTGAGAACTTCCCTTGTGAAAGCTCATCTAAACAGACGGTCACGTTATGAGAGAACAATTACAAAATAAAACTAGAAACAGAATACTGAACACCAATACTAAGTCAGTAATGCTGTATAGTAGAGAAACACTGGCAGTGACAACCAGCAATATGCAGTGGCACAAGATCATCTTGATCAACTACTGCATTCTGTTCATATTTCAGTCTTCTAAAATCATACGCTAGCACAAGATCAAATGGCAGACACTCTATGGCCCTCTCTCAATTCCATTCCATTCACAGACTAATAATATTGTCACTTTACAACAGCTCTCACAATACTCTAAAACATCTTCTCCACCTTTTATGCCAGTGGTGAATCTACTAGACAAGTATTTGTATAGACCAACTGGCACTCAATTAGCGGTGTGATCAACATCATATCCTTTCAAATAATATCTTCAGGTAACCAATAGAAACACAATAATGAACATAAATGTTGCTCTTACCTGCAGGCGGTACCTGTACACAGCCTAAAATGTTTCCAACAAGGGTTTCTATTTTCACAGACAAGCTCTCTAAATGCACTGTGTACATGATTCCCAAACAATGCTGAAAATATAAGAACAGTCAATTACAAAACACAAATTGTGTAGATGACACTACAAGGCATAAAGATGACAAAATCTTTTGTTATTGATGTTATTAAACAAAAACAAAAAGTTTTTAATCTTTCTTCAAGAATCAGAAAAAATAATTCTTTAAACAAAATGTATTAAAAATTAAAAAAAAAAAAAAAATAAAGAAATGCAACACATTTCTTGTGGATGGACAGATATGATAAAGAACACCACATGGCACTAACTATAAGAAAAAGACTGAATGTAAATCTGCCTGTTGAATAAAGAATGTGCCATTTACTCAGCTACTCCCTTCTACAGTTGTGATCATCATCATGTAGCAGGTCCTTTGCAGAACGTCACTCTCATCACGGCCTGCCTGAAAGAAACTCGGTCTCTCGCCAGCTCTCCCGCCTCATGTACTCTCATACTCAAGGAGTCACTTATATCCTGTGCCCATCTTCGTGTTGGTCGACCCCTGCCCCTCCCTCCTTAAGTAGTGATAACAAATGTAAATTAACAGTTGCAATGACTGTAAACTTAGTTTCAAAATAACCTAGAAGAAATTATAAGAAGAAAAGAATTTCTAGAGAAAAAAAAAGAGAGAAGAAAATAATATATGCTTCTCACCTCCCTTAGTATGTTTGTAAATTATCTGGTTTAGTACAACTTCCTGTCTAATATCATATTTCCTGTAACCTTATATTTAAGTTCACTGATGAATTCTTCTTCTTTTCTTTCTCCAGTTACATCAGCAGGTGCCGGGAGAAGATGTAAGGATATTCTAGAAGCTCGTTTTAATTTTATCTGTAAGTTGGTCTTCATTTTCTCAAAGTTGGTCTTGATGAGGTCCTTCCATGTTTAGTGTGGACGACTGCCCTTGCCCTGAAGCCCTGTGTTTATTATGTTATAACTCAGCTCTCTCTGGTAGTTGGTACTATAGCATTTTTGCCACAATGGACAAATAATTTCATCTGTTGTTCTTTAAATATTAGTAAGACTGGTTTTAATTGTGGTCTAATTTCTTATTTTTAATTTTTATCTTTCTTGTTATTCTGGCAGGACTACTAAATCTAATATGTTTTATGAATTTCCGCTCAACATTGAGATGAGGGTCATGACTGACATCAGTAGATTAAATGTTGGCCTAAGAAAAGTTTCCTTAATAATGTATTTTACTATATTTTTTTCACTTCATAAATAATACTTTGAAGAAAAAAACATCACAGGCGTCCGTTTTCTTTTAAAATATCAAATAATTATCAGTCGCAGAGGTACTGCTATTACCCCCCCCCCCCCCCCTTCCCCAACTACAAATGGGGTCCTAGATCCGCACGTGGAATTATGCAACAATTTGACTAGAAATACTGTACAAATTATTTATTTCATACAAGAGATGTTAGGAAAATTCAAAGTCTGTATTAACATTCAGAATTTTCGTAATAAATCAAATTAAAAGGAAGTTACACAGCATATAGTGTTGTTGTTGATGTGTAAAGTAATAGTTCTTGGGACATTCTAGGCTGCAATATATGATATGGGGTGATCAGTTCCATTTCTCATCCCTTCTTTCCAGGACAAATCCCAGGCAACAATCACAACCCACCCACACCGGACAACAAATTACTTTGTAACCATTTTATGTGCCCAGATATGACTGTGTTATACGGCTAAATAGGTGAACGGCATTCCTAGAAGTTGCAGCTGTCTGATTTTCATCCTTAAGATGTTAATCCTACAGAATGCAAATCTGGAAAGGAAAAGCTTTAGAAAAAAATATTTCCTAATTCATTCACCAGAACTTCTGGCAATGATCTGATACCCATTATTGTGAGCCAGTGTACTCAAAGTGGTCCAGGTCAGAACAGATTCTGGCAATTATCTGATACCCATTGTTGTGAGCCGGTGTACTCAAAGTGGTCCGGGTCAGAACAGATTCTGGCAATGATCTGATACCCATTGTTGTGAGCCAGTGTACTCAAAGTGGTCCGGGTCAGAACAGATTCTGGCAATTATCTGATACCCATTGTTGTGAGCCAGTGTACTCAAAGTGGTCAGGATCAGAACAAATTCTGGCAATTATCTGACACCCATTGTTGTGAGCCAGTGTACTCAAAGTGGTCCGGGTCAGAACAGATTCTGGCAATTATCTGATACCCATTATTGTGAGCCAGTGTACTCAAAGTGGTTCGGGTCAAAACAAATTCTGGCAATTATCTGATACCCATTGTTGTGAGCCAGTGTACTCAAAGTGGTCTGGGTCAGAACAAATTCTGGCAATGACCAGCTGCAGATGATCTTGCAGCAGTCTGCATTTTGTTAATTTTGACAGGTCTATCAAGAGAAAGCCATTAAAAAAGCAATGACAAACTAGTTAGTGTAAAATTGCTTAGTAAAACAAAAACAACCAAAAAATGATTGTGTTGGTTTTGTAAAGAACATGGAACTAACTTAACTGTCCCAGATTACAGGTGAGGAGAAAAATATCCATGACAAATGCTTACCCTAAATGCTTCAAAATAGTCATGTCTTGACACAAGAACAAGGGATTTGGGTGCAAACATAGAAGAATGATGAACAATACTCCGTTCTTGATCATCCTCTTCATCGTCTGGTTTGCTAGGGGTCATGGCAATCATCTCGTGGAATGTAAAGACAGCGCAATAATGTCGCTCTCCGTCCATGTCTGTGAGAACTGCCACGTAAAATGATGGCTGGTGCCGCTGGCTGGACAAAGACCATCCCATTGGCTGGCAAAACTATAGGGAAAAAGTGAATAACATATAATGGTTGAATGAAAAATTTATCAATCAGGAACAAAAACAGTGATAATTCACTAAATACATAAGGTATAATTGAGGGGAGAAAACACTAGCTATAATAGCTAGATAAATAAGATTTCTGTGGAAAACAAATATATTGACAGTAATTGTTGAATGAACAAGATATCACTTCTTCTTCTGCCTTTCTAGCCCCCAATGGCGCATACACCCTCAACCAACACATGCCAAGTCGTTCTATCCTTTGCTATCACATGCATGTCTCCCCATCTTTTTAACTTCATTCTCCAGCTCCCTTCTGCACTTGTTTTTAGGCCTCCCTTTATTCCTATGCTTCTGTGGGTTCCATTCTAGTTATATTGTTCTCCGGTTTTCTCAACGTGTCTCCTATTCAACGCCAGCGTCTTTTCTTCACCTCTTGGACCACTGGAACTTGCTTAGTTCTCTCCGAAAGCTCTACATCAGTGATTCTATTATTTCATTTAATTCCCTCTATTTTGCACAGGCACCAGTTGATGAATAAGGTTTCACTGGAAAACAAAAAATGGTGACAGTAATAGCAAAATGAATAACATGTCACTGGGAAAAAAACAACACTCACACATAGTTAAATAAGATTTGTTTTGGAAAACAAAATGATGGTACAGCTGAATGATAGGGAAAAAAAAAAAACTAAACTGTGACAGCAACAGCGCAATAAGTAGGATTTCAAATGGAGGCTGTTTAGGGTGGGGGCAGAAGGGAAAGGGGGGGGGGGGGCTCAAAGGCTATATTCCTTCATTCCGTTTTATTTTATTCAATATCATGGATAGAATCCAGTTAAGCACCTTTGGCCTCTCTCATCAAAGCTCATTTTAAGGTTTCTTTTAGGCATCCACACCTCCTTAAACAGTTTATTTACCATTGAATGTATGCTTGGTGATTCTCTGCTTGTTTATTCTCAGGATGTGTCCTATGTAACACCACCTTCTCTGTATTAGAATTGTTGATACTAGTGATTACCCGAAAATTTCTCTTAATTCTTCACCCCTTTTGAATTCCTCCTATTTTAAGTTTAACATTCTCCTCGGGCATTTGTTTATGAATACATTTAACTTTCGTTTCATGTCTTTAGTGATTCTCCAACTTTCACTTGCATGTGTTAAAATTTTAATAAAATTAGAGCTGAACAAATGTAACTTGGTTTTAAAACTATACAATTTAGAGTTCCATATTTTGTCAAAGCCATTAAAAGCCGCTGATGGCCTTGCCAATACGTGTCCTAATTAATTTTTTGTACCTAAACAAGCAAACTGATCAGTTGCTGTAACTACTTTTGTCAGCAAACAGCAAATACGTGAGGAGAGACAGTGCTGTATGGGATATTACCTAGATCATTGAAGCTGATCCTCTCGCTGTCAAACACACACTGAAACGCATTCTTAAAGACAACACACTTGAGACTTTTAGTGGTTATTTCCAAATCCTTGTTCACCTACTGTAAATTCTTCACTGGCAGAAAGGTAGCAAGAGACTATCATTAACAAAAGACACATATAGTTATACTAGAGTTTGCACAATCAATGTGTAAAAGATACACTGAATATAACTTACCAAGGGAAGCCCTGGCATAAAAGGGCAATCATCCCAGTCCTTCTCAGGAAACCTCTGCAGGATTTTGCCACAGCTAGCACCACTTCCTGTGAACATAAAGTGATAATACAGTGTTTAATGACAACTCTGTAGGGAAAAATATCAGGACACCGAAACACACTCCCATGAGAAGTATTTGATAGTAGGAAACAATGCAATCCAATCATAATTATAATACCTTCAACACACTGTCTCTTTCCCTTCTGAAACCTCTAGTAATAAAACAAACTAAACATAGTTTTAAAATGTCATTGGCCTTGTACTGTGTATGTTTGCTAATGATAGCTGCACACTCATTGTTGATATTATTCAAGGACCCCCTTCCATCAGAATGATGAATTACAGCAGCAGCAAACCGATAACCAGCACACTGGCATACAACAGGAAATTAATAATACATGAAAATATAGATACAAAAGAAGTTACACCACAAAGGAAAAACATAAAACATATAATAATGTTTGTACCTATAATATCAGTTGTATCTATGTTGTATAATGTTTGTACCATTCATATCAGTTGTATAATTTATGTTGTAGAATGTATGTACCTATAATTTCAGTTGTATAATGTATGTTGTATAATGTTTGTACCTATAATATCTGTTGTATAATTTATGTTGTTTAATGTTTGTACCTATAATATCAGTTGTATAATTTATGTTGTATGTTTGTACCTATAATATCAGTTGTATAATGTATGTTGTATAATGTTTGTAGCTATAATATCAGTTGTATAGTTTATGTTGTATAATGTTTATACCTATAATATCAGTTGTATAATTTATGTTGTATAATGTTTGTACCTATAATATCAGTTGTATAATTTATGTTGTATAATGTTTGTACCTATAATATCAGTTGTACAATTTATGTTGTATAATGTTTGTACCTATAATATCAGTTGTATAATGTATGTTGTATAATGTTTGTACCTATAATATCAGTTGTATAATTTATGTTGTATAATGTTAGTACCTATAATATCAGTTGTATAATTTATGTTGTATAATGTTTGTACCTATAATGTATGTCATATAATGTATGTTGTCTAATGTTTGAGCCTATAATGTATGTTGTATAATGTAAGTTGTCCATTGTTTGTACCTATAATATCAGTTGTATAATGTATGTTGTATAATGTTTGTACCTATAACGTCTGAACTCTGGCAGTCTCTTTTCTTATTCGGTGTCACCAGATATTCTTCTCGTTACTCCAGGATTTTCCCAATCTTCCACACTATGCCAAATCATTAGTGCAGTAATTCAGTTAGGTTTTTTTTATTTTGGCTTCAATAGCTTCTGCAGGAATAACAGTAGCCTTTTCCTCTGCCACGCAGAAAATGTTCACAGTATGCTCGGATGATTCAAGCAACTTATCCCCTCTAAACTGACAGGAAAAAAAACCAAAAAAACCATTATAACCTGCATGTTATATGGCAACTGCCTTAGCCAAGCAGCCTGAAATCCTCAGACTCAAGACCATCTGTCCTGCATTGCCCTCAATCAATCAATCAGGTGCTATCTTCTCATTGAAGGTTTGCTGCAATAGATCTCTCAAACAAGCTTTATCTCTTGTCTTGGTTATACACCCTCTCAGACTGCAGGTTCCCAAATTTCTTGATGCTGTTCTCCCACTTGTAATGTTGTCTACCTCTTGCTCCTTTGCCCTCAATCTTTTCCTTCAGTATGGTTTTTAAAAGAGTATTATGTCTTTTTATGTTGCCAAAATATTTCAACTATCTCTTTAAAAAAAATGTATTTCAATAATTCTCTCTTCATTCACAGTCTTTTCATCATCATCATGTAGCAGGTCCTTTGCAGAACATCGCTCTTATCACAGTCTGCCCCTATAATATTGGACTTTCTGGAGAATTTCGGGATTCCCTGTGTTTGGGATGAAAAAGAAAATAAAGAACACCTTAAGTGGGTAATTTGTGTGCTCGACTGCTCATGTAATGCAGTTATTTGCTGACTGGGCCTGAGGCATCATATGAAGAATTGCCCACAAAGATGAAATCTTTCCGCAACTCAAGGCAGTTTGTTTCTTAGACTGGCCTGTGTCATTTTAGAGCATTTATAATAGAAGAAACAGTTCAGTAAAGTAAGTAAAAGACCATTTTCACATGATGGGACATCAGGCATATAAGGCCGTCTTTACTTCCCAGGACTTTCCCTGGTACCCATTTTAGGCTAGGTCAACCTGTAAGCCAAAGTTATTTACAACAACAAAATCTGACTCAATGAAGATTTAAGCATCCTGCCACTGTACTACAGTGGCTCCCAACATAAGAAACGTGTTATCTTAAACAAGTTCCAATGTTATCAGTAACACTATACTATTGTGGAATGTAAACATTGTGTCAAGCACCAAGACGAAGGGTGATGGGTCACATTGACGGTAAACTGTTGCCAGCACACAAGGAAATGCAAGGACTTAGATAACACACCCAGAGCTACAGAAGAAGAGTGCTCCTACTAAGTGGAGAAAACTAACACAACGAAAACTAACACAACAGGGCAAGTCAAGGGCATGTAGCCAGTCATCCCCAGAATATGCAGGCCACAAAAATTTGCAGTTGGGGATATCTGTCATACCGACTCATAAGAAAATCACACAAGACAGATTTATCCAACCCATCCTCTTCAGTAAAGGAAACTTCCTGTCAGTGGAGCCTGGGTATATGGTGCTTAACCTATAATTTGATAGACTAGTTGACATTTGATGGGTGACATAGGTGGTTGACAATTTGTGTCACCTTTTTTTCCCAGTACATTTTCTGGCACCTATTTTAGGATGGGTCAACATGGACGCATAAACCACTTTAAAAAAAATGTCTTAATGCAGATTCAAACCTAAGATCTTCAGACTGGCAGGCAAGCATCTAGACATTGCCCCACCAAGATTTTATTTAAGTGGTTGAGACTTTCATGTTTATCATATGTTCGTGCACAGCAGTGGATCATATTCATATGTTTCTTCTAAATATTTCTGGTACACTAAAACTTGTAACTTCCTGTTCTGTTAGTGCTTTCACTGATATTTTAGATATATTAGGGCCATTCCTTGTTACTGCAAGGAGATTTCTCTATTGCATGAGAACAGCACTACTTCACATACCTATAGTAACTTTTTGCCTGTTCCTGCCCAACCTGATTCACTCAACCCAAAAATGCTAGAATCTAAAAATGCTAAACGTAATATTTCAATTACCTTACCACTTGAGCTGTCTTTCTTAGTTCCCTCATAGTTGTAACATTCCAAGTGCCAATTGTGGGGATGTGCCTAAACATTCTCTGCTAAATAATTTAGGCACCAGGTAAAAAATTGTCTGGAGCCACAGTGACTGGTGTCCTGAACTTGTCTATCCCTACCTATATACACACACACACATATTTATATATGTGTGTGTGTGTGTGTGTGTGTGTGTGAGAGAGAGAGAGAGAGAGAGAGAGAGAGAGAGAGAGAGAGAGAGAGAGAGAGAGAGAGAGAGAGAGAGAGAGTGTGTGTGTGTGTGCGTGCGTGTGTGTATGTATGATATATACATATTTTTATATATATACACACACACACATACACATATATATATAGTGGAACTCTAATATTCATCCACACTAATTATTTGTCTTTTTAGAAAGTCATCCTGCTTTTGTTAGTTGAAATTTGTCTTTGATATTCGCCCAAAAAATCAATATTTGTCCCTCCTCTGCTGTGGCCTGCAAGTCATTAGATGAGGAAAACTTTAACAATGGGCCAGTTCCAAGTGATGAAATTAAAGCGTGGTTGTACACTTGGGGATAAAATGCAGGTTCTCATCAAGAAATGGCACCCAGACATCGCTACAGTTAATCAGCGCATCAATTTATTTGATGATGATGAGTTTGTACACTTTTGGGGGGAAAAACCCAGAACAAAACAAACAATACTGGATAACGCCTTAAAAAAAAAGTGCTGTTGAATCATCTGGACACCAGTCATAAGAAGTGACATTACCTGAAGTTGTAATGGAAGGTGACTTTCTTTCCAAACATTAGCCATTGTGTTTTCATCCAAAAGGTAAATATCTTTTTAAAATTGTATTTATCTAGACTTACAGTAAATTTATGTTGTCGGGATGAGATAAATATCTGTCATAATGATAAAGCAATAATAAGTATAGTGGTTAATATGTAATTAAAATGTATTTGCAATGATTTCTGAGATCCCTTTTTGGAGTGAAATTTTGTTTCGTTTTTTCTATGGTGCAGAAACGTGGACAATGAACAAGCAACTAGAAAATCAAACTGTCTCTGGAAATGTGGATATAGAGAAAAATAGACTGAATTTCATGGAAACATAAACAATCAAATGCAGAGGTTGTGGAAAGGCCACAAATGAAATGAAAATTGCTGGGGAAAAAAAAGACAACTGAAATATTTTATCCACATTTAAAGACACAACACTTATTTTAAAACCATGCAAGAGGGAAAGGTTGAGGGCAAGAGAGCAAGAGGTAGACAACAATACAAGTGGGAGGACAACATCAAGATATGGATGAACAGCAGCCTGAGAGGGTGTACAACAAAGAAAAGAGACCGAGTGTGCTGGAGATCCACTGCAGCCAACCTTCGTTGTGGAGACAGGATCTGACTGACATCAAATAGCATTTATATCATTATCTAATAACACCACGATCTCATGGATTTGTATAATAGAGTTAGATATGATATTCTGATGACCACTCTGATAAAGAAGGGGGTCAGTCACTGGTTGGTGAACTGGATAGCAGCTGTTCTGTATTCTCGTCTGGCTGCTCTCCATCTGGGTTCATGGAGCTTAGAGCCACATATTATAGCCCCGGGTCTGCCACCTCGCATGTGCTCTTTAAAGTACATTCAAGAAAGACTGCAAGCCTAGAAGCCCTAGAGGCTGGAAGGATACTGACATTTACAAATGATATTTTTGTTTATAGGCAAGGCAGAAATAGGGAACAAAGCCTGGGAGCTATAGGTGATAGAAGACAAAGTAAGTGACTGGTGCAAAGAAATGAGTGCTGTCGTTCACCCGGAGAAGGCATGTTTTTTTGCAGTGTTCTCTAGACAACAGGATTGTTAGAGCTTATGTCTCAAGTCTCACGATTTGATTTGATTCAAGAGCCGACATCACAGCACTCGGGACATTTCTATAAGCGCCCTGTCCCCATCCTCAGCAGCCAGTGAAGAGTTCAGATACTAATGGTGCCAGTAGCATTCTGATTAAACGTCCGTCTTGCCTTTCCTCTGAGCCTTGAGCATCTGCCAGAACCTCTCGTCACTAATCCCTGCATCAATCTCACCACACTGTGGTGATCCATCTGCTCCTCCGATCTGTACACGCTCTCCCACAAGGCACTAACCACGTTTGTCTTATCATGTATCAGTATTCCACCAAGCTGTGCAGAGACAGCCAGTCTGTCCGCCTGTTCATTTCCCAACACACCGGCGTTACCTGGTGAAAAAATCCAGACAATACTCCTCACCCGTGTCCTTCGCAATTAAGCATGCCACTCTGCACGAAGCATGCTTGTCCTGATCTTTCTCAGCATGCTTTCTGAGTCAGTTACAATTACAGTGGAAAGCTGCAGTGACCGCCTCCACCTCCATTCTTAAGCTGAATGTTGTGGTATCATATGCTAGGCTCTCCTGCACTAAACGTTGAACATTACTTTTTGCTAAGAAACCCCAAGCACTTCTTTTGCCTCTTGACACTGAACTCAAGTCTCACGAAAGATGGTAGAAATGAAAAGAAAGAGAGCAAACTGAAGTATCTGGGACATTTGACAGGAGTCTGTCCTTCAAGGACCATGTGGAGACGATTGTAACAAGATGCCGCAGCACTTGGTCCTCTCAGTGCATGGTTATGGATTAGGACTGCTCACTGTCTCAAAGAGTCAACTGGTTAAAGTAGAGCGCATTTAGAACGCAACTATGCGGGTCATTCTGGGATGTAAAAGAGACACCCCAGTAGTGTGTATGTGATACAGCCTTGGTTTGCTGATATCTTCAAGGTGCTGCAGGCAAAGTTATACCTCAGAGTGCTGAGAAACAGACCACGCTTTGCATGAAGCGCTGGATGCAGTTAAGGGTCTGCAGTTGATAAGATGGAAGTCATGGATGGCTAGGATGGAGAACACGATCAGATAGGTTTGCATCCTGGAGAACATTAAGCGCCGAAAGGAGTGGATCAGACTATCAGCAAAACAATTAGACTTATGCAGAAAATGCATGCATGAATATGCAAATCAGCATATCTAATTTTAATAAATGTTGAGATGTCACTGAATGTCAGCAGGATTCATACAGATGTGTGTCGGTTCATTCAACTTCCTACAAGATTCATTCAACTTCCTACAAGATTCATTCAACTTCCTACAAGATTAATTCAACATCCTACAAGAATATATATAGTTTTATTTATGTTAATTAAACAATTAATTTTTTATAATTTTGTGTGCACAAATTCAGAGGATCCCCTCCTAAAGGATCTTATGAACTCAAAATATTGCAAATAAGGCTTGTCAGCTATCTTCCAAACAACGGTCCCAAATTATACTTCCAGCGATTTAAATTGCGTAATTCCTGCGACTTCCGCCACCGCCGAGAGTATCCCCCACGCCGCGTGGATTGGGGCTAAACTAGATGACTGGGACTCACGAACAGCAGCTACTGCATTTCCTGCAGCTGCCTTTATTGTATTTGCTCATGAGTCCTAGCCATCTAGTTTAGCCCTAATACGCGCCGCATGAGCGGCGTGGGGGATACTCTCGGCGGCGGCGGAAGTTCGCAATTCGGTGGCGGCGGTATAGTCCCCGGAAGTGCGCAATTGACACGTGTCTGAGGCCCTGTTAGGGATTATTTTCTGCCTCGATAATTTGGGACCATTATTCAGAAGATAGCGGGCTTGTCTCCAAAGGTTAAGGAAATTTAAAGATTAAAGAACATTTATAAATTGTAGTCAGACTATTTTGCATATTTATTTTATGGTTGTTATTGAGTGAGTTATCTACATTAACTTTCATGACAGACTATTACCATTTTGTAAATATATATGTGACTACTCATTACTCTCATCATCTCATCCCTCCCCACTGTCTAAATCTAATCAAGTGAGTGAGTTGAGTTGCATGAATTAAGAAAATGAATATATTTATTCCTGACTCAAACTCAAACAATTTGAAGTCACTATAATGATGTTATATATTATTATTAACTATATAAAAGGAAAAAAAATTCGGTGAATATCAACTGATTGTTAGCTAATCTGTGATTCAATCTGAACTCAGCCTTCCTTCTTTTCTCCACAGACTACACACACAGGCACTAACTGAGGAGATCACATCAGTCACACACTGCACTGACACAGGTCAGGACACACAATCAATGCTTATTTAGTCCACAGCTGCAAGAGAAATATTAAGGATGTTGATGAACTTACGATCTTTTTCATAAGCATAGCCAACTACAGCAAAATAGTCGGCTAGGCGAGACATCGCCAAATCTCAACAGCTTCCTAGTTGAGCCGCATTTACGTTCTGGCTGGTCTCAGTAATCCGATAGACGCCATTTTGAATATCGAAAACCAGGCTCTTTTTGATTTAGCAGCAGAAATCAGGCGAAAATATAAATCCGATTTCGATTACCAAATCTCATCATCATCATGTGTCATACTCGTTAGTGGTAATGAGTCTCCAATATTATCATATAACTCGTATGTTAGTAGGGGCGCCATCACCACAAAATATTTGAGGGAAGGGGGGGGGGGGGGGGTTAATAGGGAGGCTAGCCCCTTATAATTTCGAAGGAGCAGGGCGTCCAAGAAACGTTTAGTGCCTGATAATATAGTGATTATTGTTATTATTCAAACAATTATTTTGTGCTGAATGGCAAAAATTTAATAATGTATGTGAAATATTATAAAATGTATCGAATAATCCTTAAAAGGAGAACGTCTGTATATGATTAAAAGAAATCCTATAGCCACCTTGCAATTTTTTCTAGGGTGGGGTCGAAGGTGCTTAGTGCCTAAAAATTTTTTTGGGAAGGAGTCTCAATATGCCTTCCCTAGGCCCTAGCGCCCCTCTCTGTTGGTGTAAACGCTGAGGATGATTGGTATCTTTCTGTCTTTCCCGAAGATAATGTTATATTGTGCTATGAGAAGATAAGGGAATCACAATCCATTGCGAAGCAGAGCATAACTAGCAAGACCCGCTGTAAAGTCACTGTAACACTTTCACTATATATTAATAATTAGTATTTGTACAATGTACAGTAGGACAGAATAACAAATAACATTCAGAAAGAAAAATAAAGCTTTTACATCTTCAGGCAAACTAGGCATATAGAAACAGAACCAAGTTGTTTAAGTATGTTTAAAGTATTCCATGTGTGATGTGGTTAATATTCCCCCGCCGACTTTCCAAAGTCGAGCTTTTACCGCAGAGCCGGTAGGCAAGCACGTTAATTATAACGCCGCAGTAACTCTCACGCGTAACAGTTGGTCGCTCCTAGCTCGTCCCACCATGTATGGTTGTATAGACTTAGAGCTGTTACTGCTTGTCCACTGAACCAAATGACACCGTTATGAATGCTGGTTTTGTTTTAAAAACTATACTGCCTGTCCTTAATTTTTCTTTTACTAAACAATTCACAAACACGCCAAACAATTAACTGATGCATCGGAGATGTGGTTTTACAGAAAGACCAACCCAGATATCTCGAAAAAGGCATGTGATCAAACACAACTTATCACAGCAATCGGAAAGAAACAATGACACGCTTTTTTGGGGTCCTGCAATGATAAGAACGACACTTTAACATATTGTAACTACTGGGAAAAAAATGTTGAAGGGGGATGGCATAATCGCCCACTGCCAAG